AGCTGTATCCATCTTGCTCTAGCTTTCTATTGTAGGACACTCTTTTCAATTAAGGACCACTTCTCAAGATTGAGTAGTGTTTCCTTCTCCATATCTAACAAAGCATTAGTACAAGTCAATGAAATCTGTTCTTGAATGGTCCTCAGCTCTATTCTAGCCTTCTCAATTCTCTGAGTGATGCCCCTGAATTCCCTAGGGTTTAAAGCTTTCGGAGCAGGTTTCAGGTCTTTCAATTTTGTCCATACTGATTTTAAAGTTCCATGAGTATTGCAAGGATTCCATATGCTTGCCACCATTTGAGAGAAATCTTCATGTGCTGCCCATATGTTGAAAAATCTGAAAGGCACTCTACCAGTCCATGTTGAAGATGGCAGTGTTAAAAGCATAGGAGCATGGTCTGATATTTGAGGCAAACCATAGTTTGTTTCCTTATGGCCCCAAGACATCATCCATTCATAGTTACCAAAGACTCTGTCCAGTCTACTGCTGACCCAATCTACACCAGGCTGTTTATTAATCCATGTATAATAGTCACCCTTCCAAGGTAGTTTTGTCAATGTTGTTTGTTGAAGGCAAGCAACAAATTCTTGAATTTATGAGTAGTTTACTGGGTTACAAGATAGTCTGTCATTTGAATATAGTACTGCATTGAAAGCTCCTGCTATTAGCCATGGAACTGTTATACTTATTGATAGTAGTTGTAGGTTATACCATAGAGCTCTTATTTGTTCTATCCCATTGTAACCATGCACTACAGTAAGTAAGCAATCTATATCTCCCCTCCTACTTTTCACCTGACTATGTATCATTTGAGCATCATCTTTAATACCAGTAACATGAGATGACTAGTATCCCTTAGTAACCCAATGCTTCCGTTCCTACCATCCTTATAATTTGTTAGTACATTCCATCCAGGAACAATAGCTTTTGAAATTCTTTGAGCATTCCCCTCATTCACTTTAGTTTCTACAAGACCTACTAACTTTATTTTATTTCTCCTAATATACTCCCTAGCCTCATTCTGTTTATACCTTTTATTTACACATCTTATATTCCAGAACAACCAATTCATCATTGTTGATTACTACTTCCACCTCTATCACCAGGTGGAATGTGTACTTCATGTCTACTTGTAGAAACTACCTCAAACCTATTTTTCACTGGGATGGGAGACAAAGGAGGAAAGTTGATGAGATTAAGTTCAGGGCTTTGCACTGCTTTGCCTTTATCATCCTGTTTCTCAGCTACAGGTACCAAGTTTTGCTGAGTATTACTCTCCTTAGGTTCAGGTGTCTTTGTTGCTCTTCTGTGATCTTCAGCTTCCAAATTGGTGAGACCTTGTTGGTGAGTCTCAAATGAGGTTATATTCAGTGGCTCAGATGCATTAGGTATAGGACCTTTAGTTCTCCATTCCCGTATGATCACCTTGTTACTCCTTACTTTCTTAGGCTGGATTGGCTGCTGCATCATAGGTCTTGTTTGATTTGAACACTTATGTCCCACAACCAAGCATTTGTCACAATAGGCAGGTAACAACTTGTAAATTTTTTTTTCTAGTTGGGTCCATAACCACAATTTCAGTTGGCAGCTCTGTTGTAATATTAACCTCAATAAGCATTTGAGCAAAGGTACCCGAGTCTGCTTAGTAGTGCACTCATCAGCAAATATAGGTTTTCCAATTACACTAGCAATTCTGCTGAGTGAGCCAACTCCCCAACAAGACATAGGCAACTTAGGAAATTTGACCCACAATGGAATAACAGTAGGAAACTCTTCAGTGAAATCAAAGTCAGGGGTCCATGGTTTTAGAATAATAGGCTTATTGGCTATTGAATAAGGACCAACACACACACTATTTCACGAGCATCTTCAATAGTGCGAATCTAGTTATGTAATAGTTTTCATCGTCGTAAACTAGATCAGGCTCAGCAACATGTGACCAGTGTAAATTAATGTACCTCTTCATCGCATTATACCCTGGTCCATCACCTAAAATATATGGAATCAACGCACACCTCTATTTGTTCTCTTTCTCTTCTACCTCTGATTTGTCTAACTGAACCATAGGCTGACCATCAACAATTTGCGGTGGAATATAGGATAGTGACATACCATTCGTAGCAAATCGATTCTTCTGGAACAAGGTTGTCCATGGAGCTTTAGGTGCAGTTTCACTTGCTATCACCACCTCTGCCTCTGTTGATTTCTCCGACGAGCCTAGGGAGTTTACTTGACTTTGAGCTGGATTGATCGCATTTACTGTTTCATTGACTGGAACTGTCGAAGTAGCTGCTACATGACCAATATACACTGGAGAAGTTAGATCTAGTCTCTTAGAGATGTTAGGATGGCTCGAAGTAGAACCAGATTCACATGCAACACCTCCCTTAGCTGGATCTGCAGTTTGAGTAGATGAAGGTGGAGTTGCTTCTGGTGCTTCTTTCTCCATCAATGGCTGATTTCAAGTTACCATCGAGCTTACAAGAGTAGTTAACGAGTATTTCGAGGTCGACCTCGTCCTCTGCCTCTCCCTTTAGCCAAGGCTACATAGGCGGCGTATGTTTAACTAACATGCGCCGAGAGCATTTGAATTAATAAATATAGATATCTTATAATTAACTATAATAAAAAAATGAAAATATAAATATATAAAAAATAACTACCCATTCAAATTGGGTGGGAGTGTTTCAAGTTGGAGTTCTAAAATAATTTTTTTTAAAAGCAAAAAAAAAAAAAGTAGCTATAATAAAAAACCGAAAAAAGAGTAGAAAAACTACACATTCAAATCGGGGAGTAGTTTCAAATTGGAGTTTTAAAATAATTTCAAAATAAAAATAAAATAAAAAAAATAAAAAATTACCAATTCAAATTGGGTAGTAGTTGTAAGTTGGAGTTTTAAAATTATTTTAAAATGAAAAAACAAAAATAAAGAAATAAAAAAACTTTTGATTCAAATTGTGGAATAGTTTCTTTCAAATATTGTAGTGTGTGTGAGTGTGTGTATAAAGAGAAGTAAATAATTAAATGATGCCAAGTGGTATAATCATAAGACAAAAGGTGTAGATTTTTAGGATAAAGCTCCAACACAGTTGGAACTTTAAAATTATTTTATAATAAAAATCAAAACAAAAAATAAAATAAAAAATTTCTAATTCAAATCCATATCTATATCTATATATTATTAAAAGCCAAAGAAAAAGGCACCACATTAATCCAAGTGGTAGCCCAGAAAAAAGCCAACATGGCATAATTGGTTAATAACAAAGAAATTATCTATTGTAAATTAACAAAGAAATTAATTACCTAAATGTACTACTCAAACATGGATGAGGGTTTGTTTAGGTTAGTAATCTTTTTATTTCATTTTTAAAATCATTTTCGTTTTTCTTTTTTGAAATAAAAAGTGTATTTATTCATTAAAATTCAAACAATAATATTGAGAAAAATATAATAAAATTTAAAATAATTTTTTTCCAATAGTAATAAAATATATATCTTCTATTATATTACAAAAATAATTAGCAGACAAAAATATTAAATAAGTAATATGCTAATAATCTGTCTATATCTTATTAAAAGTCAAAGAAAAAGGCACCACATTAGTCCAAGTGTAGCCTAGAAAAAAGACACATGGCATAATTATTTAATAACAAAAAAATTATTTATTGAAAATTAACAAAGAAATTAATTACCTAAATTAACTACTCAAACATGGGTCAGGGTTGATTTAGGTTAGTTAATTTCTTTATTTCATTTTTCAAAATTATTTTCATTTTTTTTGAAATAAAAATTGTATTTATTCATTAGAATACAAACAATATTATTGAGAAAAATATAACAAAATTTTAAAAAATATATTATCAAGAGTAATAAAAAATATATCTTCTATTATATTACAAAAATATTAGCAGACAAAATTTTTAAACAAATAATTTCTGTTAACAATGTAATTATACTAAACATTGGATAATATAATAAACAAAAATACATAACAAAGAAGTTATTTGATGACTATATATGTCCCTTTAATTTAATAGAGATTCTATTCATTAAAATTCAGACAATATCTATTCTATTTATATAGAATAGGAGAAGCAAAGCATTGTGATAATTTCAAATGTACATCAAAAAATTAACAAAGTGACATATTTTAGGACAAAGCGCCAACAAATTTGGAGATTCAAAAATTATTTACAAAAAAAATGATAAAAAAATATACAACGAAATTAACTATTTAGACAAGGGTGATATAATAAAGATAAATACATAACAAAAAGTTATTCGATGAATACATAAGTCCCTTTAATTTAAGCGAGAATTTGTTCATTAAAATTCAGACAATATATTTGAGAACAATAGAATAAAATTTAAAATAAAAATTATCTCAAGAGTAATAAAATATATATTTTTTATTATATTACAAATACAAAGTAGCAGAGTAAAATATTAAATAAGGTAATATGCTAATACAGTTTTCTATTAACAATGTAATAATACTAAATATTGGATGATATATTAAAGAAAAATACATAACAAAAAAGTTATTCGCTGCGCTGCCTGTATAAGTCCCTTTAATTTAATAGAGATTTTAAATTTAGATAATATTACCAAGGACAACAGAATAAAATTTAAAATAAAAAATATTTCAACAGTAATAAATTATATATCTTCTCATATATTACAAAAAGAAAGCGAGCAGACAAAAATAGTAAACAAAGTAGTATACTAATAAAAATTTCTATTAACAATGTAATAATACTAAACATTGGCTAATAATAAAGAAAAATATAGAACAAAAAATTATTCGACGTATAAATATCTTTGAGTTAATAGAAATTTCATTATTGGTTATATCGTATTGACAAACAAGATGAAAATTAAAATTTATTAAAATAATACCATGTAATAGGATCAAACAAGCCCCATCATAATTTAATTTAATTAATATCTTTTTAATATTAACCACGCATTTGGTTATTTGTGGATCTATACAAGAGAGAGCTACTTCTTAACCATAAAATACTTGCACAAATAGCTATATCAAATATGAATTGTGTCTATATGATTTCCAATGAAATGGGTACGACTACTAGTGTTATCTTGAAATAACGGCGTGGGTTGGTCATTGTAAAACGTGGCAGGCAATGCACCTTTTCTCAGTACAGTGTACTAGATTTTACCCTGTTTGATATTCTCTTTACAGCTGCTTGGTGGTTGATTTCTTCCTCCTGTTGTTCCCTTGAAGGTGAGACTTAGTTTTGCTGAAATTTTCTATTTGTTTGCCTATTTTAGGTTCTTTTAGTTACAGTTGGATGGTTTTTGTTTCATCTTGATAAACTTCAGGCTTCTATTTAAGCTTCTTAACTGATATAACAATTAGTTGTTAGTACACATATGTGAAAGTGAGTTGTCGTTGGTTAAAGCTGACATAGATGCACCGAAAATCGACTGATTTGGATTAGGGCTTAGGAAATTAGAAGGGTGGGGGTGGGGGGGGGGGGGGGCGGAAAGGGGAAGAAACTGTTTGGCAGATAATCGGAGATGGCTGCTGAAGTTAAAGGGGGTGGCCGAAGTGTTGAAGGGATCTGATTTCTCTCTGTGCACCACAGCAGAAAAAGGGGATTGGCAAATTAATTTTGTCTTATTTAGGGCTTGCTGGGTTTGCTATGGGATTAATCTTCGTCGTATAGTGGGTCATTGCAAAAGAAATAAGTTACTTATATTTAGGATAGGAAGGCTTATATAATATGGCTTTGCAGCTAAGTTCCTCGGACACGGGTGCTGGTATCTGACACGGGTGCGGATCTGGCGGTCAGATCCTTCAAGATGCAAATTCTATGGCTAATAATAATTCAAAAATATAAAAGTATTGTGAGAAATTTTGTGGAATACTTACGTATAGCTTGTAAATTATTCTCAAGTTGTAGATAAGTAAATGATTGATTTTCTAGACAAGTTATGCTATTTTCTTCAAATTTATCCTATTTTTGGTTCTGATTTCGGGAATCAAATTGTGTCTCGTCCCGAATTTTTCCGTCCGTCGTGGTCAAAGTACCCAAAATTGTTTGATCAGATCCGGTACGGATCCCATACCCACACCCATACTAGTGTCGTGTCGACACGGGTGCAGCACCTAAACTGCCATGTCGGAGCAACTTAGCTTTGCAAGTCTCTATTATTCAACATTACTGATTGTAAAATTACTACATTTGACTAAGTTTGGCACAAATATTTGATAAGGGTTCTTTAAATAGGATAGATCATGTAACTATAATTGGAGAGATCTAATACTTTTGATTTATTAGACAGTGAAAATGTTGCCTACTTATCTAATCTTTTTCTTAAAATTGTTTTCTCCAAATAGTTGTGCGTAAAGGGAATTTATTACTCCCCAACAGGAGGTACTATGTGATATTCCTAATTGAAGCATAATTATAGAAGTTGTAAGTCATATAGGTACTTTTTCTGTCCTAACAACAACAACATACTCAGTAAAATCCCACTAGTGGGGTCTGGGGAGAGTAGAGCGTACGCAGACCTTACCCTACTCCGAAGAGGGTAGAGAGACTGTTTCCGGGAGACTCTCGGCTCAACAGGAGAGACAATAATATCAGAAAAGAAACGAAAAAGAAAATAACAACTACGAATAAGTGAAAGAACAATAACACAAAACTATGCAAAACAACAATGTTAACATAACATAGACCGCTAACAAACCTAAACAAAACTCTTTCTCTGTCCTAATAGACTTGATTTTTTTCCCTAACTGTATGAATCCAATTAGTCAAGATGGAACATCACTCAAACGTGTACTTCTTGATCATCTTATCCACTTCAAAATACTCAAAAGGTAGATTAGTCAATTAGTAGGATTATCTCAACAACATTTTCAATCCCCTAAAAAGAATCTATATCCCCAATTTATAGAATCATGAATTATTTATTAGCTCATTATATAACTTAAAATTGTTAAAGTTCTAAGAAATCCTTGATGAATTTAATCAGTCAACCTAGCATGTACTAAAATATATAAATCCATGATCTGAAGTACAATTGAAATATTGCGTGCTTCAAGCTTTGTTGTTTTCTAGCGAGCAGAGTATGCTCATAGGAAAACCAAAGAGACGCCAGTTACTTTCTATCTTGATATGCCAACAGACTTCAACTAATTATTCTTCTGAAGATATTTTCTTCTTTTAAGTTGAAAGCTTGACCTACTGCCAGTCCGAAACATGTTACATAAATAATTAGTCACCTCTTCAAAAGTAAGCAAAGAAAGATGCACCCAAAAGAGTGGTTTAGTAATCAATGAAGTAACTATACTATTTGGAAACCTGACACTTGTTACCTTGCAAATTTTGGATTGCTCATGGATTTCCTCTGTGAAATTATTCTCGGCTTCTTCTGTTTTCTTTGTGCATTTTTTGGATGATTTCTGAAGTTCCTTCTCTTTTTTGCTCCGTCTTTCTCTTCCAGGAGGTATGATTACCACCGTTATTTAGATTTAAGATTCAGTTGATTTTTAATCTGAACAATGTTTGCTTCTCATGTTTTGAACTTGGGTTTGCGTAAGAAGTGTTTGCAAAAGTGCCCGAAAGAAACTACAACTGATCTATTTTTATTTTTTTTAACATGCCTGATGCCTCTGGTTTACCTTTACAGAATCAGCTTTTGCTGTCGGTTTTGTGAACAATTTGATTTGTCTATTTCTTCAAAATTTGAACCTTTTGCTTTTTGGGTCTTTCTTTTTTGGTTGATTTTTGAGGTTCTTTGAAGTTGTTGCTTCTGTTGGGTTCTTTCAGTTCTGCTCTTGAGTAAACATTACTGTAATCTTGAGTGTTGAGAGAATTATTGGAAACTTTTGCTTTTTTAACAGTTTTAGTTACTTTGGGACTGTATATTGTGATCTATGATGTTTTTCCATCAAACGGAAGTGTGTATTATTAATTCCACCTTAGATCTTAATGTACTTAAGATGCTTTTGGTCAATTAGTTCACAAGAACAAAGATTCTAGGAGTTCCTTCAGATGTGGATCTTTGGCTGAGAAAATTGAGTTTGAATGGCTCTCGAGGTGGCAGACATGAGCCTCTTAATACAATTGCAGGAAATATAATGGCGATGCTATTAGGTACTTTTCGGTATTCCTTACCCTTCATATATGATTGTCACTATCTGTATATATGTTTATGTGATTGCTTTTGCTGAATTCTAAGTTGGCATTTCTAGTTCACAAATAGAAATTTATAAACTGGGGTAAGTTTTTTTGGGTGATTGGTGCTCATCCTTTTAGGTGTTTGGCTTGAATTGTTATTTCCCCTTATGAGTGGACGCATCATCTGCTAAGTCGAATGTTAGATGGCTAAGAAGGGAAAATGAGTCGTGATGATGGGGGAAACCTACATCATTTTGATGTATCTCATCAATTCCCTTCATGTAATGATGGAGACCTCGACACAAATCCATTTTTGTGTTAATATCGTTGTTAAACATATATACTTTTTCCTCAACAATGGTAGGCGAACTGTACCATGCTCTATAATGGTTTTCTTGCTGAATATTGTTATTTTTTTACCAGGTAAATAATGGCTACATTGAACACTTGTTTCCTTCCTTATGTGAAGAAGATTGCGATGTAGTTATAGCACATTTTCGTGGTGTGGTGTGTTCGTATGTCATTAGTCCTTTAAAATGGAAATACTCACATGCCCTTTGATTAGTATAGGAGCCAATGTGTTTGATTTCAACGTCTACAAGTGTGGAAGATGCACTTCTTTAGTGTTTTTGTTTATGAGAGTATAGGAAAAAAAAAAGAATTTCTTGTAGAGTTTCAAAGCTCATGCTATAAATTGCTAGATGATTTAATCAAAGTTTTCTTGCTTTCGAGGCAAGTAATTCTTACTTGATTTGTGCATCACCTTTGTTTCCCCAGAACAATCTAAAGTGATATTAAATTTCAATTCGGCTACCGCATTTGCAGGGTTCTGCAATAACTTCCACTAATATTAGTGCCAAAGTAGAAAGTTTGACTGATAAGTATGAATATCACATATGTTCAAGCATTAATATTCACAGTGTTCTCTCAATTGATAAAATTAGGAATGAAGATATTCGGGAGAGGGTGAGCGTGGCTCCGGTAGACGACAAGATGCGGGAAGCGCGGCTTAGATGGTTCGCACACGTGCAGAGGCGAAGCCTAGATGCCCCGGTTAGGAAGGCGTGGAGGTCGAGCATTAGAGTTGTAGGTTAAGGGGCAATCGAGCATTAGGGTTGTAGGTTAAGGGTTGTAGGTTAAGGGGTAGTCGGGCAGTCGATTTATGTTGTGTTTCAGACTTTTGTATAATATTTGTGGTACTGCTTTTCCATCTATTTGATGTTTCTCACGTTGCTGATATTATTTTTTCGGGTTTTGTTGTCACAGATCTATTGTCTCAGAGCCGAGGGTCTCCCGGAAACAGCCTCTCTACCCCTCCGGGATAGGGGTAAGGTCTGCGTACACTTTATCCTCCCCAGACCCCACTGAGTGGGATTTTACTGGGTTGTTGTTGTTCTCTCAATTGATAGGATTGCTAATTCTTTGTCTTTTGACTTTTCTAGGAGGTTTTCTTACTGCCATTTTAGCTCAGCTTAAGTTTATTTTGCCTAAGCCATTGAGATAAAGATGATTCTCAAGTATGATGAGCTCACTTATTGGGTATGAAGCTTGATCTTTATATAACTTTAAATGCCAATGCAAATTGGTAGCAGTGAGAAGTGGAAATCTAACAGTAGCAGTGTTATGTTGAGGAAAGTTTTCCACTCTCGGCTCTTGCATTTCTTCAAATCCCACCCTGGGGTAAGCAATTGTTCTACTGTTTTAATTTATTTACATTGAATGATTCTCCGCAAATATAGCTGATGCAGTATTGAGGTTTATTGGCTTGAATTCATAGCTCTTGTTCCTTCTGGATATTTAAGTGTCGGAGTTTTACTTCACCAATATATCCTGAAAGGTATAGTGGACGATTATGGTGAAGGTCCCCTAGCAACAAATAAGTCTTCTCGAGAAAATGTGAGGTTTGGCTCAGTAGAAGCAGATTAGTCCTGACGATGTTAATTGATTGGATAGGATTGGGTTGGATTGAGAGCTAATGAAGAGCCTTATTTTCAGGCATCTGTATAGACTTCTTTTAGTTTCAAAAAATGAAAGCAATTGCAGATACACCTTAAAAATTGGAGCTAATTAGTAAAAATGTATAAACTGCTGATCTAAAAATTGATGTTTGATGCTGAACCTCTGTTTAATAAGTTGATAACCCAACCGAACATACTAAATAATTATTCATTTACTTAGGGCTAGGGCTATTCTCACTTTCCAATCTGCGCCTAATATTTAAGGAGATACCGTGTTGGCTGACAAAATTGACTCAATATTATAACTTCTTTTTTCAGTTTGTCTCCCTAACCGAATTACATCAGTAATGTAGAATGCTGTTGATGATAACTAATGTGTATCTTTTTAATTTGATACAGACTTCTTCAATGGGTTAAGGGCACGAGTATACGATGATGAGGTGACGAAATGAGTTTCAGGAATTGGGGACAAATTTCTGAGCTCTTATAATGAACCCCCGACTTTTGAGCAACCAAAAATGACTACTGAGAAACTCCTTGAGTATGGTAACATGCTTGTTCAAGAAAAATACTAAGAGTTTACATTTGCACATTGGAAATCTCTGAAAACCTTTATAACAGTAGTTGTCCCTTAATCAAAATGATTGATTAAGTGTAAGTTTTATTTCATTATGAAAAAGAACTTGCCCAACGTGTATGTGGTTTATAACTCACTCGAGGGTAGAATCAGGAATCCCCTTATTCCTCTTGTGCGCGCGCGGGGTGTGCGCGCGCGCGCGTTTAATGATTTTAACTACTGCTTGCACCATGTGAGTTCATTGTAGGAACTGCAATATTAGAATTCAAACTCTCTCTCCAAGATAAGATAGGATTTAGTTTATCGTGCATTTTATCCCTTTAGCTCAATGGATTTTTTCAAAGTAAGCTGAGATATCCATTATAAACTAAATTTGTATCATATGTTTGAAAATATATGTTCTATGTTTTATACAATTATTCATTTGATATGCTTTATGCATAATAAATTGTTTCCAGTACCATTATATTCACTTAGTTGACAGTGAAGATATGATTTCTTATCATATTGTCAATGGCTAGAGATAACTTATTCATTACTTTGACCTTTTTTAATACAATATTTAACTGCACAATCTACTTCACTTTTAGGCGATTATTTACTCCTTTAATTTGCATGAATTTTGTTTCATCCATTTTTTTCTTTCTGCCCTGTATTCTACTGTATATATATTATATTTGCGTTATACAATGTTCATTTATAAGGTTTTGCTGCTCCTTCTGGTAGTGTTCAAAATTTTATTGAATAGTCTAGGATTGTACAGTTACTAAATAAAGCAATTAGACACTTTGACGGCAAAGTCGCCCATATCTCCATTGTGAAGAATAGATATTTAAAAAATTTACTATATTTTTGGTGCAGGAAAGAGTAGATGAAGATGTATTTCTCTTTATTTTTACGTTTCTGTTCCTCCTTGGTATTATTTTATCAAAAATCAAGCAACAATACTCTCGATTGGGTGAGCTGCAATATTATTTATTTTTGAATGCAGGGAGAAGTTTATACACCTTTATTTACAATGGTACTTCTTATATCTCACTTTAGTACTTGCTAATAATGAGAAAGAATTTGAAAAATTTGTAACCCAACCTTACAAGTAAAGTTAGTTAGATGTTACAGTTAGAATAGGAAGGATAACAGAGTATATAATAAAGGAAATTTTACCTCCTATAGCAAAGTTTGACACCTTATTTATTATAAATAAATATCCTTTTAAAACTTATCTTCTATTGCTACTTTTTAATTTTTATAGTAAAATATCTATTTATGGTCACTTCCTATCGTTAAGCCATTAACTATGTTGTGTATTATTTTTCTCTCTCCTTTCTGTTTTTTCTCTCACAAAATTACCGTATAGGATGTAAACTGATCTCTCTCTCCAATTTCTCTCACTCACATCGCCATTCTCTTCCCCACTCTCTATCCACGATTCTCCACTGATTCATCTCCATTGTCTCTCTCAATTTTCAATACTTTTTGCTCCAAAGAGTTCTGCTAAGTATTAAAGTTGTTAGATTTTTGCTGGTACTGTGTTTCTTCTGTTTCTCTTTACAATTTTTTAGAAATAATCACCATTGTTATGCTTTCAACAGAAAACTTGACATTTCCTCTCTAATGGCTGATTCAACATCCCAGAAGAGGGTTACCCGAGGTATACCCACCAAAGCACTCAATGTCGACGGACCCTCTTTAGATTTGCAAATCACTCAAGCGGACATGTATTTGCAAGTTCAGCAGCAAATACAGTTGCAGAGAGGAGAACAAAAATACGCAATGACACATCGAAAGAAGCCCAAGTTGAGAAATCTTCGAAAGAATCAACACTTCCTGATGCGGAAAAGAGAAAAAAAGTTATGGATGATGCTTCAGGTGGTAAGGGAAAGGAGGTCGATGCAGGAACTAGCTCGGATATACCGAACGAAAAGGTGATTGTAAATGTATTTATATGTATTTGAGTTCGCATACATTGATTATTACCTTTTACAATGAGTTTCTCTTATTGTATGTTAATGTATTTATATTTATTCAATAGGGCCTACACTGATTTCTCTTATTGTATGTTGATGTATTTATAAGTATTCAATAGTGCCTTCAATGATTTGTACTTATTACAGTGACTTTTTGTAACGACCCGACCGGTCTTTACTTACGAGCTCGTGTAGTACTCACCCCGAGATTGAGCATTTGCGCTTCGCTCGCCAGTTCTCGGGCATGACTAACCCCGTATGATGTATTATGACTATGTAAATCGTCAGTTTTGGTTTTCAGGTTAATCGGAAAAGATATGGAAGAATGATTCTAGCTTGAAGCTTTAAATTTGAAAGGTTTGACCAAGTTTTGACTTTTTAGTATTCGATCTCGGATTTGGATTTTTATGATTTGGTTAGCTCCGTAGGTGATTTTGGACTTGGGAGCGCGTCCGAAATGTGATTTGGAGGTCCGTGGTAGAATTAGGCTTGAATTGGCGAAATTGGAAATTTGGCGTTTCTCGTTCGGCAGTGAAAATTTTGATATCGGGGTCGGAATAGAATTTCGAAAGTTGGAATAGGTCCGTAGTGTCATTTGTGATGTGTGTGCAAAATTCAGGTCATTCGGACGAGGTTTGATAGGTCTCAGCATCGCTTGCGAAATTTGGAAGTTTAGAAGTTCTTAGGCTCGAAAAGGTGATTTGGTGTTTTGATATTGTTTTTAGTGTTTGTCACGACCCGGATTTCCTATCCTCAGGAGTCGTGATGGCGCCTACTCGTGAAAGCTAGGCAAGCCGAGTGTTACAGATTTTATTACCCTTTTTCCTTAACCTTTGACATTCACAAATTTATATATGATCAACAACGGAATAATAATAATAAAAGAAATGCGGGAGACGAAATCTAATAATTTTAACTTAATACAAATACGATTCCATAGAAACAATCCACCCAGAACTGGTGTCACAATCTCACGGACTATCTAAGAATACTACAGATAGGGTCTGAACAAAGAAAATACATGTCTGTCTCTGAAATAAGTAAGAACAGAAAAAAGTAGGACAGAAGGGGACGCCAAGGCCTGCGGACGTTTGCAGGACTACCTCGGGTCTCCGCTGGACTGAAGGCAGCAACCTCACTGTGGTCCAAATGCTCCAGCACCGGGATCTGCACATAGTGTAGAGTGTAGTATCAGCACAACCGACCCCATGTGCTGGTAAGTGTCGAGCCTAACCTCGGCGAAGTAGTGACGAGGCTAGGACAAGACTACCAAATAAACCTGTGCAGTAAAATCATATACGACAAATGATGATAACAAAAACTAGCAGTTGAAGATGGGAAGGGGAAACATGCTGCAGGGAATATCAAGTACTAACAAAATTTCAGTAGAGAAGCATAAATAACACCATAATTTCATATCAGCAAGAATAAGGAAAACAGTAACAAGTGCACGGCATCACCCTACGTGCTTTTACTCTCGTTCTCACCATAAGAATCAATATTCACTTTTATTCTTTCTTGTTGCGGCGTGCAACCCGATCCCAATCATTTAATCCTGTTGCGGCGTGCAACCCGATCACAATCATATAATGATATTACGGCGTGCAACCCGACCCCACCTGTCCACCCTTATTACTCCTTGTTGCGGCGTGCAACCCGATCCCATATAATATTGTTGTGGCGTGCAAACCGATCCCAATATACAAATCAACACCAATCACAAAAGAATCCCGGCAAGGGAACAATAGTATAACAACAATATACCGGCAAGGGAAACAATATCATAAGCAATAACATCCCGGCAAGGAAAACAATATCATAACCAATAACATCCCGGCAAGGGAATCAACAATATATCTCATCTCGTTTCCACAATCACTTCACAACATAAGTCTCAACTTGAGCCAATGCTCAACAATGGTCAATTACCAAGAATACTTTCATAGGCCTTGTTCAACATTTATAATCATCATATTAAGCATGGACAATACCTAACAGAGTCACAATAATCATAGTATAAGACTCACGAGCGTGCTTGACACCAACGTATACATACTCGTCACCACACCTATACGTCGTACTCAACACTTAACACATAGCAAATAAGACTACAACTCATATTCCCTCAAGCTAAGGTTAGACCAAACACTTACCTCAATGCCACGAACACAATCAATCCTCAACTACCGCTTTACCTCTTGATTGCACCACCAACCCGCTTGTATCTAGCCACAATTTACTTAATAACATTAATAAATGCTAAATAAACCAATTCTAATACATGAAAATAGGTTTCCCAATGTTTTCCTCAAAAAGTCGAAATCCGACCTCGGGCCCACTTGGTTAAAACCCGAAGTTCGAACCAAAACCCGATCACCCATTCACCCACGAACTCAAATATATAATTTGTTTTGAAATCGGACCTCAAATCGAGGTCCAAATCCGCAAAATTTGAAAATCCTAAGTTCTACCCAAAATCACCCAATTTCCCATGAAAACCCTAGATTCTAGGATGAAATCTTGTAAAAAGAAGTTAAGGAGTGAAAGAAATGAGTTTAAAATCACTTACTTGTGTTTTGGGGAAGAAAGAGTGTTTGAAAAATCGCCTCTTATGTTGTAGGGTTTTGACAAATGAAAAATGGACGAAAAGTCTCGTTTATATATATACCCCTCTCAAATCCTCACCGCTGACCGCGGAAAAAGGACTGCGGCCGCGGAGCTTCACCGTGGATCGCGAAATATCAAGCGCGGCCACGGAGATTTGGCCTTGCCCACCGCTGACCGCGAAAACCCCACCGCGGCAGTAAAGTCCCTTGCGCGGTCGCAAAGATTCACTGCGGACCGCGAAGCTTAGTTTAGAGCCCTGCAACTTCCCTGAACCTGCAACAGCTATTTTTCTAAGTCTAAATTCACTCCATGGCCTATCCAAAACTCACCCGAGCCCTCGGGGCTCCAAACCAATCATGCACGCAAGTCTAAAAATATCATACGGACTTTCTCGTGCGATCAAATCATCAAAATAACATCAACAACTACGAATTCAACCTCAAATTCATAAAATTACTCAAGAACATTGAAATTTCCATTTTCCTCAACAAAAGGTCCGATTTATACCAAACGAACTCCGATTCTTGCCAAACTTCATAGATTCGACTTAATTATTTTTTTAAACATGTATCGGGCTCCAGAACCAAAATACGGGCCCGATATCATCAAGAAAATGCATTATTTCACTTTTAAAAGCCTTTATATTTACCAGCAAATAATTTTCTTTAAAAATTCTTTTCTCGAGCTTGGGACCTCGGAATTCGATTCCAGGCATACGTCCAAGTCCCATATTTTACTACGGACCCTATGGGACCGTCCGATCACGGTTCAGGTCCGTTTACCAAGAATGTTGACCAATGTCAACTTTAATCAATTTTAAAGGCCAATTTCCTTATTTTACTTAGATTTCACACAAAAGCTTTCCGGAGATGCGCCCGGATTGTACACGTGAATCGAG